ATTGATGCTTTTCACTTGAGCTGGGAATTGGCACTGTTGTATGGTTTTCCTCCAATTCTGATAATCCTGCAGGTCATTCTCAAGCTGAAGTTGGACCATGCCAAGCTCATTCTCATTGCTTCAGCATGGCTGAGGCAATGTTGTTGGTTCTCCAACCTTCATGTTAATGGTTTGCCCTCTTGTATCTGTTCCTTTTCATCCCGACCTCCTGACTTAGCATCATGTCGGGTATTGCATTCAGCACTTCCTGCATCTCACAGCATGGATACTGCATGGTTAGATGAGGAGGAGGAATTATGTTTGGAGTTGGTGTTGGGAAGTCTTGCTCAATAGCAGGGAGCCCTCCACCAAAGTGTTCTGTTTGTCGAAATGGAATCAGTTCTGGATTTGGTCATTAGCCTGTGGAGTTCATCTAAAGTTGTCTTGTATCCAGAGCATTTTGGAGTACCTGTTACACCTTCAGTCTTCTGGTCTTGCGCTTTGTTCATTGAAAGTCCACCTGGCGATGACTTGGGTGTTTCATCTGCCCACGGAAAAGTCGATGGTTTCAAACCTCAGGGCAGTGAGGTTCTTAAAAGGAGTCACTTGTCTCTGCCCATTGGTTAAAGAGCCAATTTCTTTGTGAGACCTTAATACTGTCTTAGCTATTCCTTTGGGGCCTCCATTCGAGCATCTAGTAACTTCTTCTTTCTCCCTTCTGTGTCAGAAAACTGCTTTCCTTGTGGTGATAACATCCAGCAGGAGGGTGGGTGAGTTGTAGGCTTTGATGGTGGAACCCCGTTACACTCAATTTTCTAAAGATAGGATATGGCCGCAGGGTTACTTTAAGTGTTTATCCAAAGTTGTTTCCCAGTTTCACCTGAACCAAGCTGTATATTTACCAGTGTTCTTCCCTAAGCAGCATTCACTGCCAGAGGAACAACATGCTCAAATAAATGTGTTAGTCTCTAAGGTGCCACAAGTACTCTTGTTCTTTTTGCGGATATAGACTAACACGGCTGCTACTCTGAAACCTCCCAGAGGAACAACATCTTCACTCACTGGACATCAACCGATGTTTGTTTAGCTTTGTCTCAATAGGAGAAAATAGGACTGAATCTCAATGGGACCAAACAGATCCGCTCCTTACCTTGTTTGTTTATTTCATATGCAGACCAAATTAAGGATTAAGCAGTCTGTTCACAGGTGATCTCCGGGTGGATAACTTCCTGTATACTCTGCCTCAAAGGATACATGCTCATTCCACAAGACCCTAGGCAACATTGATGGCATTTCTAAGTGACATTCCTATATTGGACGTTTGTAGGGCTGCCACTTGGTCATCTGTGCATACTGTTATAAACCACTATGCCATTACTGCTGCATCCAGATCAGATTCAGACTTTTGGAAGGCAATCTTGTAGTCCTTGTTTAAATAGACTCCAAACTCTCTCCTACTATGAGTACTACTTATGAGTCACCTGAGTAGAAAACATGGTTGCATCTACTCAAAGAAGAAAAAATCATTACCTTCTTGTTAACTGTTGTTTGAGATGTGATGCAGACGTGTATTCCACAACTTACCCTCCACCCCCACTGCATCAGAGTCTGTACTTCTGATGTTCGGTACAAAGCCACTGAGGGAGTTCGGGGTGGCGCTGCCCTTGGGATGGGGTTGGGCCGCAGGGCATGAACGCCACCCCTACAGGTACTGCTAGGCAAAGTTCTCTGGCTCCAGTGTGCTAGGTGTGCGCCGCCTAAATTGAATACACAGCTGCATTGCATCTTGAGGAACAACCGATACAGATAGGTAATCGTTTTATGTGGGCTCTCAATTCAGATAAAAATAAAGTGATCCTGAAAGACCTAGGGAAACAAATAGAAGAAATGGCCGAGGTGATATCATTAGCACTTTCAGTTGAGGCAGTTTGCCTGCCTTATGTGACTTAGGTTCACAACATAAGATGCTTATTAGATTCTCACCTGTTTCTGGATGTCCATATAGCAGTAGTGGCCAAGAGTGCTTATTTTGTCTTCTGTGCTTGGCCATGAGATTGTGACACTTTCCTTTTGAATGCAGATGAACTCATGATTAAGGCTACTATTTAATCACGGGTATTTTTAGTAAAAGCCATGGACAGGTCCTGGGGAATAAACAAAATGTCACGATCAGTGTCTTGTCCATGACTTTTACTAAAAATACCCATGACTAAATGTTAGGTGCTGGGGGAGGGGGGCGCTCCAGCGGACGCTGCTGCTCTGGGGTGGATGTTCTGGTGGTCGCTGCTGTTGCTGGGGTGGGGGCACCCCGGGGCCTGCTGCTGGGGTGGGGGGAAGCCCGTGACCCTGCAGTTGCTGCTGAGGGGGGCAGCCAGTGATGAGCTGCTAAAATCTTAACAACCGGTTCCCTATAAAAAGTTCTGATTTAAGGGATGTGCCACAGTATGTATTTTTTGTACCAATAGGGTTACCATACTTCCGTATTTTCCCGGGAGGAATTTTTTAAATTTTAAAAATTTTCCGCCCGGACGGCGATTTAAGACCAAAAAGCCTGACATCTCTGGGAAAATACGGATGTATGTTAACCTTACCTAAAGTTCTTTTTTAAAAAAAGATAGGGCCTGAACTAGAAATGAGCTCCGTTTCACATCTGTGGGTCCCCGCCACTCCCTGGGGGTGTGCTAGGGTGACCAGATGTCCCGATTTTATAGGGACAGTCTCGATTTTTGGGTCTTT